AGCGGAGCCTGTCAATGTTCGACTCGATATTATGAAATGTCAGTTAAAGTGACAGCTGTCACCTGCTTCAATCCATGTCAGTGACACGAGCTTCTGTACATAATGTACATATGTACATGCATATGTACATATGTGTCCTTAGCAGGGGACTGGCTGCTCAGCCTAGTGCCGCCTCCATTGAAACGTTCATCGCTGGGCAGCCCGCTGTACCGACCTCCCACCGATTCTGTGCTCACTAATCTGTGAATTTGTTGCCCTGCTCTCTGGCCTCGCGTGCTGATGAATGCCGAACAAATGCCCATGGCTCTCGGCTGGACTGGGCTGGCATTTAGCCCGGGTTTTTGGCCAGCCACTTTGCGGAGGCATTCAAATTTGGTTTGCTTCATAAGCTTTAACGCGTCATTTCGCGTCGGATTAGTTCAGTGTCGAGATGAAGATGGAGTTGAGCAGAGCTGGCCTCCCCCTACAAAGTGGCTGGCAAATAATTTAAAGTGCATAATCCGCTTAAGGCTTACAGGCGAGCAAACAAAGGCGAGGAAAATAGCGCGAAAGCAACATGCTGCTAATGTCCTTTGGCAAGGACAAGCAGAGCAAACGTCTTGGCCAAATGGAGAAGAGCAGGCGAGAGCAGGCCCAGACACAAGACAGACAACACAGGACACAGCACACAGCACACAGGACACAAGACACAGGAGACAAGACAGACCGAAGAAGCTTCAGTCATTTTTCACCTCCACTCCAATTGCACTTGCTCGAGCCCCTCCTCCGCTCCTCGACAGATCCAATTTGCTGTGGCCCCTGGACACTTTCCTGTACGATGCTTACATTTTACTTAACAACTATTAATTTTCCATTAGCCTGTACCATGTCCCCACTCCCCCCCACTGGTTCTTTTTGCCATCTGCCCAAATGTCAATCAAAATTGTTTCGGCTTGTCATAACAATGTGGAGGATGTCTTGAACCCTCCTTCCCTCCTCCCTAGTGCCAGCTGACGTCAAAAGTATGAAAATTGGATTGCTATGTGAAAAAATGTATTTATTATTTTCTTTTAGTGTGCTCTTCAGTGTGTGTCTGGCTGGTCTGTGTGCCCCGTCCTGCCCCGCCCCGCCCCGCCTCGTCTCTGGCAATCATTAAAACTGTCAACAGAAAAATGTTTACTGAAACTTTCTCTCTCTCTCTCATCTTTTCAAAGTGACACTTGCAGCTGTCTCCGTGCTTCACAGCATGCCCCCCATCCACGCCCCGCCCATCACCCATTCTCGGTCAGACCATTGCCAACTGTCATTTGCTGCAAGTGCCGCTTGAGGCGAGTGAATTACAGTTATTGCTCGCACTCCACTCAAGCAGTGTGACCGCATTTGCATACGACTAGCCACTGGCTGGCACAACTGTACTCGGCATTCAATGCCACTCAGAGTGGTGCAGGTGCAGGTGCAGCAGTGCAGGAGAACACACACACAAATTCTACAAATAAATCCGCACACTTCAAGCTGCGAAGCAATAAGAAAAATCACACTGTATAGTTGCGTAAACTGTACTCTCCACTCCACTAGTGAGGGGCAACAGAAAGTACTCCCCATTAAGTACAACACATGTCCCAGATGCAAATCAACTCAACGTGTTGCATTAATTAAATAAATCCAACTTCGCCCCCAAAGCAAACTATCCATTAACTGAATGAAAAAGTGTGTGTGTTGTTGTTTGCGTTTTAATATTTTACCAATTTTCTCTCGCAACATTTATTCGGAATTTAAACATTTTTTGCAGCTACTTTTAGTATTTCATCGCTCGCCTGTAAGTATGCTACCGAAAGGGGTTCGGTTCACGTTTTTTCTTTTTTTGTGTGGGTTGGTTGGGGGGTTGGGGGAATGTCAATACGAAAAGAGAGAAAATTAAATTTTGTTTGAGGCTGTGCTCGGTGCTCTGTCGAAATATGCCACAAGCTGCGTGCCACAAGAAACAACACAGGCAGGCAGGCAGCCCCCCAAAAAGTGGAGCCTGCCGTTTTGGGGTCCCCTGTCCCCGCGGGCTCGTTTTGTGCGCTGAGATTTTTCGCCCGTTCTTTGTCACCTCGTCCTCCCCGTTATGACTGCTGTTCGCTGCGCCCTGCTGCCTCCGTTCCTTTGTTGTGGGCCCTAAATTGTCAATTTTTGCATGTTTACAAGCCAGAGGCAGGGGCGCTGGCTGTGGCAGAGGCAGACACTGAGTCTGAGTCTGAGTCAGAGTGAGGGGCAAAGCCAGCAGCAGGAGTCAGGAGTCAGCCACAGTTGCAAGTTGTTTAGGACTGACGAGAGGTTTTTTTGTTGTTTTTTTTTGTATCCGGAATCCTTTATCAGGCTGCCGCTGAAGCTGCCGTGTAGAGCGGAAGTGGCGCTCTTTGCCATAGCACACACACGTGAGAGGAGGAGCTAACCCGAAGCGAACCCACTTCCTGTTGTTGGCTTGCTGTATTGTCTATGATTGCTCCCTTGGTCCTGGTCTCCTTTGGCTGGAAGACATAATCCTCAGCGAGCGAGTGCTGCACCCAAGACAGGCATCGCTTAAAATATATTTATGCGGATATGAAATTATCTAGAGCTCAACTTTGGTTTCAGTTTCAGGTTCTGTTTCCGCTTCCCTTGTTATGCTAATACTCTGCCTCGAAATCGGGGCTTGCTCGCTCTCTCTCTCGTTGCGCTCGTTCCGCTCGGCAGCTTTCATTCGTTATAATTTGCCCAGCCTCCTGGTGGCTATTTTTCCATAACTTTTCAAAGGATTGCCCGCAAGGGCAAGGAGGCGAGCACAAAGCAAAGGGAAAAGGAAAAGGAAAACCGACAGTTAGTGGCTTTATGCTCTCTACACACTTTTTTTCATTTTCATTTTTGGCATTTTGCACGCAATTAATTCAATTTGCAAAAGTTTGTGACTCCCCCCAGCCCCACCCCCACCAACATTTTTGCGGTAAAAATCTAACAAAAAAATGTGAGCTTTTAAAGTTTTGGCAGCAAGGTGCAAGGGGTGGCCACAATGCCCCATGCGATTCCCATCAGATGATGTGTCCGAGCATATGCCAGAGATCGGAGCGCAATGTGAAGCTGCTGCCTCTGGGGGCAGCATGAGATGCAATTATGAAAATGACAATAATAAAAATAAAACACAAAATAAAACAAAATAAAACAAACGAAAAAAAAGGCGAGTCCGAATTGCGATAAGCTAAATATTCCGACATTTGTGTATCCTGTATACCGATTGTCCGATGGGTGGGTGGGAGGCTGCACACAAACCGTTAGCCGTAACCGAAAAACCGGAAACAGAGGAAAAGCACCTAAAAGCATTTTGATGTCAGGTTTATGTGGCGTCTGAGCAGAGTTGTAATGGGAGTGATGGGGGGGGAGGGATGGGGTTGGATGGATGGTGTTTCATTATTATAAGCCACGAATAAAATGCAAATTTTAACGCCAACATTTATGACAACAATTGCAACACACGAAGCAGTTGTGGCAGAGCATAAAATTACGAGGATGTGCACGAGAAAGTTTAGAGTCGCCGCCCGCAGCAGCCGCATCTCCCCCTGCCCCTCTCTCTCTCACTCGCTTTTACGGCCAATTAAAAGTGCAAATTATATTTGCGCAAGTAAATGCAGAATGCAGCACACAAACAAGTTTTTAACTTTCTGATTATGCGGCACGGACGGTGCCCAAACAGAGCGATGCAGCCGAGATATCTAACCATCCAGGCATCCCAGAGGCCACTCCATCGATGCAACCATGATCTCCATCGATACTTGAAATCTTGTCGAGCTTGTCGAGCCGAAAACTTTGCCCCATTGTCGCTGCATTCAAATTATGGAAATTATGAAAGTGTAGAGCAGAGTTGGAGCCAACTTCCGCTCCAGCTGCAGCTGCAGTCTGCAGCCCTGAGACCATCTCCCTTTCCTTTCCTTTCCTTTCCTTCCTGCTGGCACGCACTGGGTAACGACAATGCATAATAATGCAGTTTTGTGCTTTATGATTATAATAAATGCTCTTAAATGCCGCCCGTCACTTGGCAGCTTCCTCCCAGACTGTCCCCTGCCGCTGCCGCTGCCGCTGTCCCTGCACTGGATTCTGGGATATGCTTGATGGTAGCTGGTAAATGGTAATGGAGAGGGTGGGTGGGGGTGCCATGTAAGCTGGCAGGATGATAAATTTCCTTGGCCGTCTTATAAATTCATTTTGTGCAACAGCACTTTATGCATAAATTTGCATGTCACAAAAGCAACAATAGCGAAAAGCCAGCGCCACAAAGGAGAGAGAGAGAGGAGAGAGAGAGAGGCAGGCAACGCGCCCCAACAACCAAACCGCCTATCCAGTGCCACAAAGGACCAGACACGTTTTCCGTGCTCCGCCTACCGCCTACCGCCTACCGCCTACCGCCCGTCGTTGCTGTGGCATTGTGTGTCCGCATACTAAAAATAAACAGACGCCAAAGCGAACAAAATAAAACAACAGCCAACGACTTGGCCCCAAAATGGAGCTTAGCACGTACCACATGGCGTATGGAACTGCGTGCAGCGGCAACTGCAACGACGACTCGTTGCCACAAATGTAGGTTAGATTGCGAGCAGGTCATGCTCGTAATGAGGTGCACTTGCACACACCAGCAAACACACATTAATTGGTTGCGAAAGGTGAGGAGAGGAGAGACCCAAATGAACCGAGCCAAAGTGCCCCGAAAGATATGTGCATATGTACATTCCTTCTGAATGGAGACATCCGAGTGGCCCACAAGGAGAACTGGAACACAGCACACAGAGCACACGGCAATCGCCGCCTGAATCGACTGATAACGGACACCAGTGGGCAGGTCAAGAGTCGTCCCCCGAACCTACAGCGAGATTGGGATTGGGGGATTGGGGGATTGGGTTTTAAGAACAATTTTCCCTTGGCGCACTCTATGCAGGCATGAAAAACGTGGAAAAGATAACCGCAATGTCGGAGTTGCCCAGTGATAAGCGTGAGGCTCTACAGTCTCTTGGCGATTACAGACAGTGTCGTCAGAGCTCATCAGTTGCATTCTGGCATTTGGCGAGCGCGAAACGATGAAGATTAAGGCAGCGATTCTCCTCTTTGTGATGGCTCTAGCCATGGCTGCAGGTAGGTGATAGTAGAAAATAAATCAATAAATCAAGTTCGATGTGTTTGAAATGTGTTTGAATCAAATTATTTTGCAGGCATCGTGGCACCGGACTGTCCCAGGTGGTCCAAGTGCTGGAAGGATTTCCAGTACGGCAGGATCATTTACCGCTAGTCGGCGCACACATACGTGTACTTCTACTATAGAATAATTTATGCCTAATCACAGTCGCCATTAAAGCCTTTCTCCATTACGCCTAATTGCAGTCCCGGGGCTTTATTTATTAGGAACGACGAGTGAAGCTTCAGCGCTGGCAGTGACCGTGGGGCGTGGGGCGAAATAAACTTAATGAAGGAAAAAACTGATACCCTTGGGAAGCCGAAACTATAGATACCCTGGCAGATTCTTCACTAAAATAAAATCAACTACAGCTTAAAGTGGCTTCAGAAACAAACAGAAAGAGGGCAATAAAAATACCCTAGAGTTCTTTGGGTAATGTTTCCGCTGCTGCTCGCTATACCCTCTGCACAGGGTATGCGCATTACAGCCGCTAATTGAAACGACCGGATGAGAGAGAGAGAGAGAGATGGCATGCGTGTAATCCCCTGGCTGTGGCTGTGGTTTTGTTATTCGGAATACCTTGTAATCGGAATGCCGCCACCACACACGGGGGCATATCGGGCGTGGGTGGACACTGCCCACTCTTCTGCCCACTGCGGGGTATCGCAGCAGTCGAGGGCACTCCTCGGCGCACCGAATGTTACTTTTTCAGCCGCCACCACGCACGCAGCATTTTGGTAAGCTCCAATGGGATTGACAAGCTTGTCAAAGCTTTTCCGACGGCACCGCAACGAAAGGTCGGGCACAACAATTCAATCGCTGGAACCCCCTCCCCCCCTCCACCCGCGTAATCACACTGATAGGGAGGAAAGGACGTGGAATATTGGACGCAAAGTGGCACGCAATGTGACTGCCCAGTGCAACCGGCAGAGGGCGCTGGTGACACAATTGACGGTGGGCAGGGGCAGGCAGGAAGGAGCAGTGTGGGGGATACGTTGCGTTATGATTGACACGGGTCTGACGCATTATCGATTGAGGCGTCACGCGTGTAGCCTTCGGTGTGGAGTAGAGGGTCCTACTCTACTTTCCATCAAATTAAATTTAATTATTTATGCTTCGCGTACAACTCGTAACGAGTTGTGGCTGTGGCGCAAATTATAGATTTTTTGATTGATTTTTCGTGTCCTATCTAGAACGTTCGGTTCCCCGTTTGAGCCACTTGAAAGATCTCAAATCTAAAGCAAGGAAAATTGATGACTTGGTCGGGGGGAAAGCAGAAAATAAAAGAAAAGTAAGCAGAGAGAGAAAAGGCAGCAGCTTATCTTCATCTGCGGCCCGGCAAAACATTCTGTGGGTGGGAGGGGGACAGACATCATTACGGCACATCGCGGTAACGATGACTCGACTTTGTCAACACAAATTCCATTAATATCGGACCGCATTAACATCACGGACATTTCTGTTGGCTAAATCTGTCCACCCCCCCCACTTCTCCCGGCGCTTTTCTTGTCGTTTTCTTCTAGCTTTTACAATTGCGTGACATTTGGAATTACTCACTTGGTGGCGCTACCCCCCCCCCCCGTGCCACGCGGTCTGCGATTAAAAGTTAACTGGGATTTGTTTGGGAAAAACCCTTGGCCCAGGTGGCAGAGGGCTGGGGGAGGTTGTCTTTCTGCTGCGAACGCAAACGGAAAGATATTTCTTTGTTGCTTATCGATTTTTTCCGAATCGGGGCTTCTGTGCCCCTTCCCTGCCCGACCGAGACTGTTTTGTTTTTGTAGGAATGATGCTTTGTTACGAACGTACCCTGGCAGAGGGTATTTTTATTTCTAAAAGATGTTTGTTTGCAAGCTAATGAATAAATATGAAAATGAACACTTTGATGGCTTTCCAAGCGAAGATAAGTACGTATACAAGAAATCGCAAGTAGGAGCTGATCAGCTGTAATTTCTTATCATTTAAATGTAACTACTTATAATTATAAGTTGATTATAAATCTGTAACTCAATTTGTTGCTTATAAATTACGAGTTTTCAGCACCTTTTTGGAGCGAGTAAAGGAGCCGCAAATATATCTCTTTACCCGCTACTACACCGATAGAAAAAAGCCCTGAAATAAATATGAAACATATTAAATTTAATATGCTTTATATTTAAAGTTCGATGCGGCAGCAACGTGAACCAGTTGGGAATTGGAAGGACATACAAAAATAATATAAACATAGTTAAAATAAATACAAATATTATTTAATTCCATTTGTTTTAAAGACATTTTGAATGCAATCATGACGTAGTGCTGGGAGCCGCAAATCGCGTGACTTATTACACGTATTTAAAAATCGCATATTAAATTCAAATATTTCAAGTATTTTTCCATTTGATTTTAAAAGAACAATTTTGAAATCAAGTCAAAATAATATTCAATTTAAATATGAAACATAGTTTAATATGTTTAATATTTAATATATTATAGTTCTTTTGTATTAAGGTTAAATATGACCGTATTAAAAAAGCATTTATAATACATTTATATTTGAATCAATGTGAATTCTATTTAATTTTACTATTTTCGTATTTAAAAATCGCATATTAAATTCAAATATTTTCAAGTATTTGTAGCTATGAAGTATGAAGTATATAAATCACAGATCCTGATGCGCAACCTTTCCAATCACTTAAGCAATTATAATTATTTTCTTTATAACTCAACCAACCAAAAACAATACTAAGGGCTATGCCAGGGCCGTAAGGGTATCTAAGTCTTCGAAGCCCTTTTGTTGGCTTTTGCTAGAATGTTATGTTGCTTTGTTTAGCTTTGTTTTGCTTTGTTGTGTGGGCATGTTCATTCCTGTTGCCGTTGTGGGTCGCATTTTTCGGATTGCGCCGGAGTAAATTCGGGGAAAAGGAATGCGTCTGGGCAACAACCCAGACAAGGGTTGTGAATCAGCCACAAGTTGCACTCTCGCAGGGGCCTCTACACATCATCGCGCGACTTGTGTGGGGGCGAACAGAGCGAAGCGTATACCAGAGAGCACTGTGAACTGTGATAACAAATGCAGTTCTAGAGACTGACTGACTTTTCTGACTCACCTCGATAACACTGTCGCTGCCAAGGCCGCAGATTTTGTTCTTGCTGTGGAACTTTTGCTCTTCCAATGGGTTTTTACGCTGCTTGGCTTTTGGTGCCAGACGCAGGCCGCCCTTGCCACCACTGTCACCGGCGCCGCCGCCGCCGCCACCACCACCACCACCAGTGGCAATCACAATCTCGTCGTCCTCGTCGTCGAGGAGGTCCAGAGCGGCGGGCGAACTCAGATTGAGGGCATCCACGTCCACATCAATGTCGAGATCGATGTCGGCCGCTGTGTCCGGCAGCAGGTCCAGATCGCTTTGGAAACTCAAGTCGAGGTCTTGGGGCAGCTTGGCGTACTTATTGTGGCTTTTCATTGTTGCAGCCGTGCATGAGTCATGTGGCCCGTGTCGGTGGCCGAGCGTGGGGAGCGTTGGGAGCGTGGGGGGGTACGGTGCTGCAGGAATCGCGTAACGAAGCCGTCAACCAAAACAAAAATAATCAAATGAGAACAATCGATTTTTCCGCCTAAAATTCACCGCTAGAACACTAGTCGAAAGCGCACCAACAACAACAACAGGTTCTTGTGCCGCGAATGTCGCGATTTTTCAAAGCGAAACGCGTAGACACGCCAACTGTGACTGAAGAATCCTGCCTGGCCCACCTTCCGGCACTATATCCCGATTTGATCTGCCTGTGCTCTCGATTGGAGTTCAATATTTCATCCGGTACCGAGACTTCCGCGAATCCAATAACAGCTGTAATGGCGTCGGCGAAAGAACCGTTCGTCTCTGCGCATGCATGGTATAACTACATTAGGTATGGCCACATCGTCCGCTCTTTGCGTTACGCGTCGACGCAAACAAATTTGCATGGTATAACTATTCGAGTTAGGCACAACTCGCAGGCCTCTTTGGGCGGCACATAATTGCTAGTATCGTCTGAGAGAGGGATGACCTTACCTAATATAAATACCAAGCATGAACGCATTTATATATTGTTGTTGTTGTCGGTAGAAACTCAAAAAGAACTGATTTTGAAATTTAAAGCTTATAATAATAATAGTTTCTTAATTGTTATAGATATATCTTGAATGTCTGCTGTTTTGACAGCTGTCTACGATTAATTGCTCAATGGAAGGGAACAAATATCTAAATAAACAACGAAATTTCTTCATATCGTGTTTTTGACCGTTCCCATGGCAAGGCATATGATTTGCTTGTAATATATATCTTTGATAATATACGGCCTGAGGCGGCATTTTTAATAGAAAATCAATTGTAAAATATAACTTTTTCTTTTGAATATTTATTTGAGTTCGATATATATCGATGTTTATATCGAAAAGCTGCAACACAAAGACGATAGTGGCGCTAGTCAGGCTGCTGGCAACAAAATACGCTAGGTGGCGTATTAGTGTGACCGTTGGCATGGAAATGAATGCCAGAAATATTCAAAATTTCAAAAATAATTGTTGCTATTAGTTAAATGTAAGTTAATAAGTAACCAGACCAGCAGGGAACTTGTTTTGAGAATCGTTTTTGTTCATTTCTTTATTCGAAAGCAGTTTTTTAATCAATAATGTTGTGTTTAGTCCCTCTATAGTTAATATCATTTATGAATCCATCCACAATTTTACTTAATTATGCAAATTACGTTGTTTAAAATAAAATTCTTAAAAAGAAGAAGCATCTTTTGTAGCTACCATAAGGTGTACTTTCTGTTCGTGTTCTTGTTGTTGTTGTTCTTAAGAGTATACGAAAATTGTTTTTTGCTCAGCGATTGCTAACTTTGCGATAGAGATTTTGCTGAAGCATTAAAAAGCCTCAAGACAAAAGCATCATATCATCCAATCCTAATCGGATATAATCGTTATAGAATATCAAAAAAGATTTCATTTAGCTATAAAATTGTGTATATATATATAAATATAAATACTGTGTTCACTTACGAATATCGCGACACTCGGTCGCTTTGTCAAGATGGTTTTGAACATAAATTATGACATCCAAAAATGTTTTGTGTAATAAAAACTATTACTTGTTAAGAAACTAAATTAGTTTGTTTTAGCTGGTTGTTAGCAATAAAATGCTTTAAGTACATACATTCGCTGTGCATTCAGCACGATTCGATCCGCCGTTGCTAATATTTGCTTAATAGATAAATAATTTAAATTACTGGCAACATTTCGGAGATGCTTTGCGTTCGTTCGTTCGTTCGTTCGCTTTCGTTCGATTGTGGGGACATGGGGGGTGATTGAAAATTCATTTCGTGTGGATACAATTAGGAGAGGATTGACAAGACAATGGTTAATATATATATGTAGCTTCAGAAGCTTTACTTTCTCAAAGGAGGGGCTAAGATGGGCTTGCGGCTTGCTGCTCTCTGCTCCTGTTACTCCCCATCGCTCGCATTCCACTTAGGCTAACAAATTGTCCCCAATCTTACGCATCTAATAGAAAAAATAATCATGGCAAGCGCTTAAGCGTAGCTTAATCTACCCCTTCTAAATGGTGGCTACTACTGCGACTGGTGGTGCTGGTGCTGCTGCTGCTGCTCCTGTAACTGCTGCAGCAGTTGTTGTTTCGTCTCGGCTTTAACCGTTTTGTAGCGATCCTTCTCCTCTGTATTCTCGGGAGGCTCACACTCGAAGGAGGCCATCGAGAGGGTGTTCTCGTTGAGCACTGCGCTGTGCTGCAGATAGGCAATGACATTCGGCAGCTTCTCGAACGGACAGCTCACCTTCTTCCACTCGTTGAACTCCGTGACTTGTTTGGCCAGCTGGGAGCACTTTTCAAAGTTGATATGATTGTTTGGCAGCCTAAATGAGACGGAACAATAATCAATAAATTATTTAATATGCTTGGATAACGATTGCACTGATACGCACCGATTGGAGCAGCCCTCGTTTAGAAAGTACAAGTCCTTAACAAATAAACTAAAGAATGGAATGATTATGCGTTCGCGTTCCTCTGTGGCACCCTCGGAGCGCCACATAGCAGCTTTGAGCGTCGAGCGATAGCTATTGAAGTTTGATGTTGGATCCATTTGATGTTCCAGCACTGAGAATTTGGCCGATTGCACCTTCGACCACTAATTATGGGAGATGAGATAAAATAAAAAATAAAATGAGCATAAAATATTTTCATACGAATTGTATGCGGATATATGTATATATCCCCTTAAAACTTACTGTCTTCTTGAGTCTGCCTATGGGCGCCAGATTTAGACCTGCTATTATGGCCATCAGACTGTTGAAGTTGCCAATGTTGAAGCACTCACGGGCCGTCTCGATCCAGTACTCGATGATGCGAACACGCTGCTTCTTCTTCGGATACTGCAAGCAACAAATAGATATAGATATAGACAATAATAGACACACATGACATATGCTGGCTAGGATTAGCTCCCCCCGTGCCTGATACCCACCTTGACAATCTCGCTGGCCGTCAAGTAGCTGAGGCGATTAAACCACTGCACATACGACTCCAGATTGCGCGTCTTTTTCATATCGTTCAACGAACCGCCCGCCTTGCCGCCTCCGCCTGCACCATCCTTGGCCTGCTGCTGGGGATAATCCTTGGCAAAGGCCTGAACAAACTCCTCGGGCCCAATATGCGACAGACGCTCCAGTTCGATGGCCGTCAATTGGTGGGCCAAGTGGGCGCAGCTCGGGCACATGTCCATGATGCCAAAGACTTCGTCTGGCTGTGGGGTGGTCGAGTTTGAGTTGGAGGTGGAGGAGGAGGTGTTGCCGCTGGAGGAGGAGTTCGAGGTGCCGCTGGTCGAGCCCCCACCGCCCAAGCCATTGGCATGCGAGTGCGAGCTGCCCAGAAATGTTTGAAAGGGATTATGCAAATGATGATGATGATGATGATTATGATTATGATGCTGTTGACTTTGGCCAGCAGACACCGCTCCCGCCCCCGCCTCCCGCTCGCTGCCATCCGTGGTGAGCGTCAGCAGGAACTCCTCGTACTGCTCCAGGGCCGTCAGACGGGACACGAGCAGCTGCAGAATGCGAGAGACCTGCTTGCCCAGCGAGTTGTCAATGTAGACGCACTTCCGGGCCAGGATGCGCACCTGCTGCATGAGGCGCTCATCTCTGAAGTCGTACGGAAAGATCTCGATCCACTCCGAGAGCAGCCGTATGCAGTGCTGGGCCGATCGCTGTGTGCTCGTCCGCTGCTGCGGCTTTGGGTCCAGCTCTGTACTAGACGCCGCCGCCGCCGCCGCTGCCGCTGCTGATGCTGCTGCTCCCTTTCGCTGGGTCAGGGGCGAGGCAGAGTTTATGCTGAGGTACAGCACCTGTCCGGCATCGTCCACCACATCGCAACCGCCTCCTGGTCCCTGCTGCTGCTCCCAAGTCGTTGAAATCTGTGCCAACAGCTCGTGCGGCCGCACAAAGAGCCGAGCACTGAGCAGGAAGGCAAAGACAAAGCTCTCGTCCGGATAGTACTCGTGGGTGGGCACCATGTGGGTGATGAGCGACTTGAGCGGGCCCGAGTGGAGCTTGCCCTCACAGTAGACCAAGTGAGCCTCCTTGGGTTCCTTTGCCGTGGCCCGACTCTGGGCCGGGCCATAGCTGAGCTGCTTTTCTGGCGGCTTCTCCGTGGGGGCGACCCTCCTGTTGCCGGAGTAGGTCTCCTGGCTGTGACAGACGCTGTTGCTGCGCTGCGTCTTCAGGTCCGGCAGTGTTTTGTGTGTAATTGACGTGGATGTGGCACTTGTTGAAGCCGCTGCCGCTCCTCCGGCCGCAGGCACCTTGATATTGAGGCTGATGTTGGCACTGCCGGTGCTGCCACTGCGGCCATTCGTGGCTGCACTGCTTATGCCGCCGTTGCTCGACGACATCTGGACTGCAATCCCAATCCCAATCCCAGTCCCAGTCCCTCCGCTAGAGCATCTAAGTCTCACGCATTGGACAACCAAAGGGAGAGCTGCTGCTGAAATGGCAAAAAGGCAAGAGAAGAGGGTAATCGGAGTGTTAATCGAGGCAAAGTGTGGCTCCGCGAAGCCGTACGAAATGGCAATTAGAGGCACAAGGAAAGCAAACAAAGGAATAGCTTAATGACTCGAATTTCTAGTCTGTCTGTGTGTGGATGGGAAGGGGGCAAAGGGAAGGGGCTGTGGCGATGGCAAACAGACTGTGAGGAGATCTCTCTCAGATCTCTCGGCTATCCCAACGTCTGAAGCACCATTGAAGCAGCACGGATTTGAGCTTAGCAAAGCGAAAAATCGCCAAGCAAAGTGGAAAACTAGAAAAGTGCCATCGAATGCCAGTGCCAGTGGCAGTGCCAGTAGTGGCTGTGGCAGTTCAGAGAAAAGAACCCAACGTCAACGTTATTGATCGCTGGAATGGGGGCACCACATCACGTAGCATAGCCAGCCACATGGCCAAATGGATGAAGAAAGTGGGAGAGACTCCTCCTCCTGCTGCTGCTGCTGCCGATTGGCTCAGAACATACTCATACTCTCGTATCAGCGAGATAATGAAACTATAAACTGGAAACTAAACTGGTAATTTGTAGATGAAAATCATTTGGCAGAGATGTGGGAGAGAGGGCGATGCGGTGGAAGGCGAGGGGGGCTTATCACAGGCCAGCGAGCAATGAGAAACGGAAAATGAAACCAAACCAAAATGAAGCTAAGCAGCGGACACACTCAACGAAAACTAAACGAAACATGAGAATTCCAATATTAATTAACAGCAAAACAGAAATACCAAAAATATGGGTCAACATATTCATTAGGCGGGTGGGGTGGTGCGAGGAGGAAGGAAAGGGAAAGGAAAGGCATGCTGAACACGTTAATTGAATTACCAAGACGCCAATGGAAGGTACGGGGCCAAAAGGAGAATAAGCTGCCGACAAAAAGGGAAGGGCTGCACATTTACACTTTTCTTGCCATACTGCCACGCTTCACAGAACACCAGCCAGGAGCAGGGGGGTCGGAGGCATTGATTATTAACTGCAGACGAAAATTGTAATCAATTTTCAAATGCGGTAGGAAAAAAAAAAAACCAACAACCAAACGAAATAAAACAGAGCTAAAAGCAATTTAAAGTCTATATTTAAACCATTTATACAAAAAGCAATGCAACAACAACTACAACAACAAATGAGTGGAATGCACTGCCCATAAAAGCTTAAAACAACAAAAATGCAACAACAACAACTGTAGAAACAAGAACAGCAACAGCCAACAACAACAACAACAGAACCATAATTTGTATACAAAACGCAAAAGAAGAGTAGAAGAAGCAGCCAGCCAGCAGCCAGCAGCAGCAATGACAGACGTGAAACGAATACGGGAACATTAATGGATGTCATGTACGTCTGATCGAGCATTTCCATATAATTACATGTAAAAAGCTACACATCCATATAAACAAGACAGAAAGAGAGTAATTTTATTCGCCAAAGGAAGGATTGGTCGAGGCACATTGCACTGCCCATAAATCTTCAACGAATCTTTATCACTTTTCCGCATATATTTAATTACGGGAATTAATTAAAAAAAAAAAAAATGTTTTTCTACCGATTCCACACTCTCTGCACCACCGTGCAACAACGTAAAAGAAAGGCAAAGGCCGACGCGTGTGGAAATGCAAGGGGGGAAAAAGCCAAGAGGCCAGCAAAGAAGTCAACAAGAGCAACAAGGACAAGAGAGAGAGAGAGAGTAACAGAGAGAGCGAGAGAGACAAGTCAATAAATGGGGCCGTGGCCCGACACGTCCCGTCCCGGCCAGTCCAGTCCCTCTATTGCTGCTGGTGCTGTTGCTGCTTTCCCATTTCCCACTTGAAACGCAGGAACCGAGAGGGGGGCGAACGAAAGGGGGCACAAGATGCAGATGCACTCAGTTAATGGGAAATGTCTAATTGGAAGTGGGTTTTTATTTGCTTACCTGGAGCAGCTCCCGTGCATTTCGCAATTATCCTGGCCCAGAATCTCTTGGACCATTCACGCCGTACACACCGCACGCACACGCCACAGAGCACACGCCCCGCCCGAACGAAAGAAGTTTGTCCTGGTTGCACTTGCCTCCTCTCCTGGTGGCAGAGGAAATCAGGACAGTGCGTCGTACGCTGACGTCGCAGCTCGCGTCGACGGCGATGCTCTGGCTATCAAAAGTGGAACACACACGATTCCAGCTAAACAGGCAGAGGGAGTTGGTTGTGTGTGTGTGTGTGTGTGTGTATGTTTGCAAAAGCAATTTACAATACGCGAACGGCAAACATTTCAGTTTCAGCTTTCCGAGCACCCCCCACCTTTGCACCTTCACCCCCGCAGCAGAAGCGGCGACAGAGGCAGAGGCAGCAGTCGCATATGGCCGCCTTTTGCGTCGCTTCTACTTGGCACAGAAAAATTATGGATATGGCAGGCAAATACTATATTTAAATAAATTCAATGTCTCAATGCACTTTGTGTCACACGAAATGCATTTCCACGACTTTGACAGCGCTTTTTCCCCCGTGCATATACGGGTTTTTGTTTGTGTTTGTGTGTATAGTATAATATGTATAAGAGCGCCGACCGGACCGGTTTGTTTGCTACGCAGAACGCAGATTTTTCTTTACACACAAAAACAATAAAACAACAACGAACACGATGCGCCGTCGGCTTGTCTTGTAATAACGCTGGTCACCGTTCACTTTTCAATAATTTATACAAATCGCTGCCGCGGCGGCAAATTGCGTCTTTTTGTTGTTGCCTTTCGCTTTTATTGCATTTGCAACAAAACAAAAACGCTTACGCTCCGTTTTGTTTATTTACAACAAAACAAAAACGCTTACGCTCTAGAGGTGTCAAACCATCGAGGGCACTATCGATAGGATCGATATTTTACTGCTAGTCTCTACTATCGACGGTTTTGAGACTATCATGATAGTATCGAGCTACAGTCGTTGCGCTTTTGATATGTTTGGATTGGCTGCTATAAAATACGAAGACAAATTTGTAAAAAAATCGACAGGTGGCATCTAATTTTTACAATGGACAAGTTCCTAAAAAGTTTCAATGGTTTTTTAATAATTATTTCAGCCCGATACTATCACGATAGTATCGATTGTTTTTTCAAAACATTTGACGTTGATATTCCTCGATATTGATATTCCGTTTAATGTTACCAGCTAGCTGGGACACTCAGCCCTAAACAAATAATTTTATCCGATAGATACATACATTTTCTGAAAGATTTTCCAGTTTTCTGAAGTCCTTTTTATTGGATTATTTACATATTAAGGTTCAAACAAAAACAACATAGAACGAATGTGTCGTCGTTTTGTGGCGTTGCCAGACTCGTGCAATTCGTAGTTGCAGCTGCCATATTATGATATTTTGTGATATGATATTCGTCAAATTTGATATTCAGTTTAATATTACTAGCTAGTTGGCCCTCTCAGCCTTGAGCAAATAATTTTATCCAATTCCTCAATGAATTTTGTTCAGGATTGGCTAGTTTTCAGAACTCTTTTTCATTGGATTGTTTCCATAATAAGGTTTAAACAAAAACGGCCAAAGCATAACACGTAAATGTTGACGTCAGTGTTGCTGGTCAACCAAGTATCTTCTATGCGTATGTACTTTTGTATACCTTATTTTTTTTAATTGGTGTTAAATGTTTTGTTCCAAGCTCCATTGAAACATTATTTATGATTTTATCCTAGATTGACATGTTTTTTACATATTAATGCACATGTTTGTGTGTTATAAATACATTTATCCCGGTTCTGATACCTATTATTGGTAGTCGTGAGCTGCAAAACTTTGTTAAAATCTTTAGAACAGAGACTGAGTAGTTTTTGCATTAATTGAAAATGCAAGTCCTCAAGTCCATAATATCCATTTTCCCAAGGTATGCAGATTGTTGCTCATTCCGTGCCAAAGTTGCACAACAATGCTGCTACTTCATTTCCCCATGTTGCTGAAATTTTTCCCATACAAAATCAAACTCCATTTAGCGCACAAAAAATACTGACATTTTTCACTAACAACATTGAATTTAAAAACATGTTGCTGGCAACTTAACATGCTGCCAATGGAAATTATCGTAGAAAATTATATGATCAGTGCTGTGGGCTCCAGTAATTAGTATTTTACTAATCCGAAAATCAATCAGCCCATTGTCTTCGGTATATTTACGGTATATGTATACGGTATATATTATTCTTTGGTATTTTTCTAATGGTCTGACGGTATATTTTATCGAAAGCCTCGTGCTTTGAAGGAAAATTTAATTTGCTAAACAAGCCGACTAGTATTCGAATTAACACTTGTAGTATATCTGGGGCGACTGTTTAAGGACTGAGCATCATAATGAGCACCGAATCAACGAAACCAGCGCCCAGCCAAGAGGCAATTGTGGCCCAATTCCAACAGCTGCGGAACGACCAGAGAAATTTGGCCAACAACCTAAACACCCTGGAAATGGACTTGAGGGAGCACAAGTGAGTCACTGGCCCGGCCACCAAGTAGACATTCGAATGCTAATTATGTATTTTGCTTGTGCCCAGAACTGTGATAGAAACACTGAAGTTGGCCGATCCGGACCGCAAATGTTTTCGTCTGATTGGCGGCGTCCTTTGTGAGCGGACCGTGAAAGAGGTGCTGCCGCAGCTGGTGGAGAACCAGGACTTCATTGCCCAGACCATTACATTAATCACGGAGGATCTGAGCAAAAAGGGGACGGAGCTGAACAAGTTCAAGGAGGAGCACAACATCAAAATCCGTGGCGAGCACCTGAGCGCCGAGGGTGGCAAATCGGATGCGGAGAGCAGCGGCAGCAAGTCTGAGAACCGCAACGTTCTCGTCTCCAACTAGAGACGCAGAGAACCCAGCCAGCACGCAGCGTATTTATTGTGTCTATGTATGAAATGAACTCTGCCGAGATTTGCGAACAATAACACTCAACCGATCACCGGATCCATGGATTGAATACTGAAGTTCTAATGTTATATGTAATTTGTAGCTGTAAGGCGAAGTTCACACGCCCCCCACTCACATCCCAAATCTCTCATTCACACGCATAACACACCTCACCACAACACACCAGACCACACCACACACCGGCCCCGAAAGTAAAGCACTACTGTAACAGAATGAACCGATCGGCTGGTGCTTTATTGGAATGCTTCTGAGGACTGCTCCCGGCGGTGGTAGTCCCGCTTGCCACCGGACTTGCTCAGCAGACGGATATTGGTGATGCAGATGTCGTGGGACACGGCCTTGCACATGTCATAGACAGTGAGGGCCGCAATGGAGACGGCTGTTAGGGCCTCCATTTCGACGCCCGTCTGGCCGGTGCAGCGCACAGAAGCCACCAGCCGCACGCAATGTGCGTCGGGCAAGAGCTGCGCCTTCACCTTTACCGAGGACAGCGATATGTTGTGGCACAGGGGGATCAGTTCGGATGTGCGTTTAGCTCCCAATATTCCAGCCAGTTGAGCTACACTCAGGACATCGCCTTTGACCAGCTCGTTGGCTGCAATGAGCTGCGTGAGCCGCTCCCCCACCTCAACGGTGGCTTCTGCTCGGGCCAGTCGCGTGCTGGTTGGCTTCTCGCCGACATCCACCATCTGGGCCTTGCCCTGGGCGTTGACGTGGCTTAGACTGCTGCAGTGGCGGGCTGCCTGGAGCAGCTGTGATCGATGAGAATGAAGATGATGGTGGAGCAGTGCAGCACTTGCAATGGCTGATGGGCGACTGGCGTCTGCTAGCCGCCTATGAGTATCATCGGGCGATTCTCCATCTGCGAAAGGTTCAGCATGCCTGGGGGAAAATGCTGAAAATGTGAGTACTGTACTCCTCTGTGACTCGACCGATGAGAATGGTGAATCATTCAAGCTCACCTGCATGCTGTCGCTTCTTGCGCCGCACTGCGGCTCCGATCAGATCCACCAGATCCTCCTCGGACACGTCGCTCCTCATGGCGTCCCGCAGCGAAAACTCCTTGTTACCGAACAGACACACCTTAATGTTACCATCCGCGGTAAGCCTCAGCCGATTGCAGGAGCCGCAGAAATGCTCCGTCATCGATGTGATGAAGCCCACCTGTCCCTTGAATCCCGGCACTGCAAATGCCTTGGATGTGTCATTTGGCCCATTTGGCAGTGCCTCGAACTCGGGCCAACGATGGCGAATCAGCTCCACCGTCTCCTTGAACGAGATCAGCCTGTCTGTGTGCCATTTGTTGCCGGAGAAGGGCATGTACTCGATGAATCGGACGTCCACGGGCCGATCTCTGGTGAACTCTACAAAGTCGCAGATTTCGTCCTCGTTGAAGTTGCGCATCAGCACGCAGTTGACCTTCGGGCGGTAGCCCAGCTGCACGGCCAGATCGATGCCGGCAATGACACGTTCCCAGCCCTTCCGTCGCGTTATCTTCTCGAAGCGGTCCTTCTTCAGTGTGTCCAAACTGATGTTGAGCGAGTCGAGGCCAGCCCTTTGCAGTGGCAGCAGCAGACGGGTGAGCACCAGGCCGTTTGTGGTGATGCCCACATGCTCCAGCTGGGGCAGGGCCTTCATCTCTGCCACCAAATCGACAATGTCCCGCCGGACAGTGGGCTCGCCGCCCGTCAGACGTACCTTTCGCACTCCCTGCTCCACAAAGATGCGGGCCAGACGAAGTATTTCCTCGGTGGTCAGCAGATTCGCCTTCGGCTGCAAGGGCACTCCATCGGCGGGCATGCAGTAGTCACCTGAAACACATGTTCTATGTATGTGAATTTCGCCACAACATTCAATTAAGCCCACCCGGGCATCCACTTCAGCCCTGAGTGGTGCCAGTGGGCCCTGGGGCTGTTATCGCCTGATGGTTGCTTAGGTGTCGCTGATAAACGAACGATTGGCCCAGAACCTGTTGCGGTAGGTAGGATTGGTTGGAAACTTACAGCGCAGATTGCAGCGTTCCGTGAGTGAAATCCGCAAGTAGGTGTGGTGTCGCCCGAACGTGTCTGTCAGCGGCGAGTCCTATCGATTAGAGGATGATTAGCTCTCATTCATACCATGCCTAATTCGAAATTTAGAACTGTAACTGCTCCTCCCCCCACCTGTTTGTTGGCTCTCTGCGGCTCTGCTTGCGCACTTGTTGCCAGTTTTAGGGAACCGGTTGCCGCTGCCGAAGCCTTTCGGCGGATGGGAACCGGCGCTGGTGCTGCAGTCTGGCACAACAGCCTATTTACGTATTTCACCAGCGGACGCATTTGATTGACTGTTTGTTGTTCGCGCTCTAATGAATGTAGCTTACGTAAACCATCAATTTGCTGGGGGTAGGGCTGAATCAAAGCATACCGTTTAATAATATTTAATGATAAGTAATTACATATGCTCACGGCAGGCTCGCTTCTTCTTCCTCTATATGGCGGCGATCCACTCCACCACAGTCGTCGAACTGTGCTTGCAAACTAACTGTATGGGATTGCTGATCTGATCAAACAGTGTGTTCCATTGGAGCTTTTGGCGTTTGCCAAAGCTTCCCCCCACTTATCAATGTGACGCTGGTGTGTGTCTGTGGGGGGCTGGCTACTGTGTGGTAGCCATTGTACATTGTAGCCACAAGCGGCGTTCCGGTTAATTTTTTGCATTTGGAAACGGTGACATGACAGTCCATCATGACCAAAGCAGTATTGTGTAAACTGCTTAACTCAGCAAAAACAAAGAGTGCACTGCTTTAGCATCTTATACGTGGATCGGAAACACCGCCAAAGTATATGAAGATAAGGTGAGACATTCCGTATGGTCCAGTCTGAAAGATGAAGGCCATGCCACCCAGATCCACTACAAATCCAATATAAACCATATATGTACTTCTTTCGCTCGCACTGCAGTCTGCAGGCGTCTGTGTCTGTGCAGTGTTGGACAAGTCTAATGTCATACGCCCATATTCGATAGCATTCGATGACAACAAGAACAGCTGTGTTTACGTTATTTTGCACTTTGATCGTCCGCTGCTAAAACGATGTTGAAACCAATAGAAACATTCCAAATAAGATAACCCACAAGAACAATGGACTTTCGAAATGCCCGTGCCAGGCAGCCGGAAATCGTGCGATCCGTGCAGAAGGATGCTCGATATACGAACGAGCTGGCCGAGGAATTCTCGGATGTCCTGCGGCTCACTGGGCCGCGAAATTGGATTAAATTCAATCAGATGTGCAAACTGCTGGCGGAGCTCAGCTATCATGGATTCTCCTCGGTGAACAATCTTCAGACGCTGGGCGAGGAGTACACGGGCATCATACAGGTGGATGGCAACTACAAGCAGATACCCAGTCGACTGGCAAGTCTCGAAATTTACTTTAATTATGCAAGCTATTGGCTGATAATGTTCCTTTCCAGATGCAACTACTTGCCATTGTCCTAGAGTTTGGTGGGGATGCCCTGTTCCAGCGATTACTGCAAAAGCTGGACCTGTACATAGCCGGTCACGAGGAGATACGGCCCGAGGCCAAGCAGCAGCTGAAGAGACTCATCCATCGCCTGAAACAGTCGCCCAGCTATGTGAAGGCCCTGCACAAGTCGCTCTTTTACCTGAATGCCAGCAAGTACCAGCTGTCCAAGCGCACCACTGCCATCAACTACGTGCTCATCCGCCACTGGCTGCAGCCAGAGTTCTCGCTGTACGGCTACAAGATACTGGGCGTCATCACATTCCTGCAGGTGACCGTCTCCCTGGCCATCAACAGCTTGGACGCCTGGCGGGAGCACAAGCGACAGCAGCTGGATTCCCTGAAGCACACGGCCAAACGTTTCCTTCAGCGCGCATCGGTTGTCCAGTCATCGGATTGCGTTGCTCCCCAGTGCATACTCTGCCTGGAGCCGCGCACCAGCTGCAGCCTGACGCCATGCGGCCACATCTTCTGCTGGGGCTGCATTCTAGAGTGGCTGGAGGAGCGCGACGAGTGTCCGCTGTGCCGCGAGTCCCTGAAGAAGTCGCAAGTGATACAACTACAGAATTACGCCTAGGATTAATTGTGTGTTTCGATTTTATTTAAAACTGTTTCTATGTATATACACAACTTATGTGGAGGATTGGGGTGCGTCCTAAATCTGTTTAATGCCTAAATATTATATATTTGTATTTACATTCATTACACTAGATAAACCCAACAGTCAACTATATAAGTCTATATAATATCTAGATTAACAGTGCGGCTGAAGATCTGCTTGCGACGCCGCGACTCGTACGCTGACCGCGCCTCCGCTGGTGACTCGAAGGCCACCCTGGTGTCTCCCGTGGGCTTTCCGTCGTCGTTGAAGCGCCGAATAATATCATCGGGACTGAGCTTGTAGTCACTGAAGAAGCGTAGAATGTCCTTTAGTTCAGCCTTGAAGGGTACATTGCGCATGGCCACCACACAGCCGGGACGATTGAATTTGTCGGGTATCGAGGAGCTGCTGCTGTTGGACACATTCAACGGTGGCGACAGACTTCCGCTTGGGTTGACGGGCGGATCTGGCCTGGCGAACGGATTGAAATGCTGCTTTTGTGAGCTGTTGCTATCCTCATCCTCCTGCCGCTGTCGCTCTCGCTCCGGTGGCACTTGCTGCTGCTGCTGCTGTTGTTGTTGCTGTTGGTTGTTGTTGTCGAAGCGACTGGGACGACGCCTGGACGGGGGCGGTGCACCCGCCGGCACGCCGGTGCCACCATTGTCGCTCTGGCGTGGCCCATTGCCACCCGGCAAATAGTCCATAAACGGCTTGTTCATGCGATCGGCAATCTCCTGCGGCGTGATGGCCAACACCCGCAGGCCACGGCCACGGAATCTCCGATTGTGGAACTCCCTAATGGCCTGCTTGGCATCGGAGCCATCCCCAAATTCGATTATAAACTCACCCGTGCTCTGGTTGCGATCGTTAATCAGCATTTCGATATGTTCGATGCGCAGATTCTCCAGCGAGAAGAGTTCCCCCAGATCGTTGACCCTTGTGGCATACTCACAGTTGTGAACACGCACGAAATTATCCTCCTGGCGTGGAGGACGCACTACCTCGTTCTGGTTGTGGGGCATGGACATGCCGCCGCCAAAGGGACCGCCACCGTTGTGGTTTCGATTAATCGATTGCTCCATGATTGGTCCTCCGCCATTGTGGTTCTGGTTTCGATTTTGATTATCCATATTGTTGTTGTTATTGTTATTGTTGAATGGAAAATTTTGTGGGCCACCGCCACCGCCATTATTTTGTTGCTGCAATTGCTGCAGCTGCTGTTGGACGACAAACGGCATTATACCGTTAGGCATTGGACCAGTGTTGCCAAACGGTTGCATTTGATTCTGCTGCTGCTGCTGCTGCAGCAGCTGTAGTTGTTGTTGTTGTTGTTGCTGCTGGTCCCGATTTGGATTGTCATCCGCATTGCGTCGCCGCGGATCACTGTTGAACCTCGCCTGCATGGCCATCTCCTCGCGCTGCTGCTGCTGCTGTTGTTGTTGTTGTTGTTGCAGCAGGAGCTGCGCTTGCGCCTGCTGTCGCCTCTTCTGATCCTTGAGCAGTTCCTCCCGCTGGTCGGCCTCTTCCTTCAGTAGCTGCTCATTGGCCCGTCGCTGCTTCTCCTTGGCCTGCATCATCTCCGCCTGGCTGCTGGGGCGCACACGCAGCTGCCGGAAGCCAATGTAGTGCCGCGATTGATCCTCGAGGGCCGACAATGCCTCCGTCTCACGTGCAAACAGCACAAAGGCCACAAATTCGCGTCGATTGTTGGGACTCGGCGCCAGTAGGATATCCACAATGGTGCAGGTGGCGGAGAACATCTTCATGATGTCCTGCTCGGTGGTCAACTGCGGCAAATCCTCCAAATACAGGACATTAAAGCTGGGAATGCCACCACCGCCACCTCGATCGCTGCTGGCATTGCGAGCGAGGACATCTTGTGGCAGCTGCTGCTGCTGCTGCTGTTGCTGGTGCTGCTGATTGCGATGCGAATACTCATCGGCCTGCTCGAATTCCGCATCCCCGATGGGCACAATCTGCACCAGGCGATCGCGGAACATGGTGTTGTGGCGCTGCAACGCCTTCTGGGCACTGGACACCCGCGAGAACTCAATGTAGGCCACTCCAGTGCGACTGCCATTCACCGTCATGATTTTGATGCCATTGTGCGGTATATACAGACCCTGGAAATACTTGCGCAGATCACTGTAGGAGGTGCTCTGGCACATGCCACTGATCTTCACATAGCAGGTGTCGGCCACCGCCGAGGACATGCCACCGCCACCGCCGCCGCCTCGAGGACTGTGACTGCCGCCGCCCCCTCCGCCACCTGGCGAACCACCCATGGAGGGCGAGAGCTTCGCTGCCGTCTGCTGCTGGAGTAGCACCTGTTGCTGCTGCTGAAATAACTGCGGATAGATCTGGGCATACGGATTGACACTGGCAAACGCAACGGGCTGCTCCTGCGCCTGCACCTGCACCGCCTGCCGCTGCACCTGTTGCACCTGTTGTTGCTGTCCCTCCATTTGGGCAGGGCTGTTGGACCCTGCCCTGGCTGCCGCCTGCAGAGCGGCTATCAGTTTGTGTGCATCGGGAGCCAGTGGCGGCGCTGGCGCTGGTGCTGATGCTGGTGCTGCCGGACCATTGGCATTGGTCATGTTGTAGTTATTGGCGGTATTGCTGGTCGTATAGTTCTGCAGCGAGGGCAGAACGGGCGGCACGCCCAGACCCAGACCGAGGCCGAGACCCATTCCTATGCTCATGCCCGGAAGACTACCCAGTCCCGGAAGACTGAGGGCGGCATTAGTCTGCGGCGGATTGGCCCACGGCGACAGACCACCAGCAGCAGCAGCACTCACGCCGCTGGATTGGAGCTTCAGCTCGCGCTCACTGCTATCGCCACGCTCTAAGCGACGCTTACGGATCGCACGATCACGCTCCCGATCGCGTTCGCGTTCAAGCTCCCTTTCACGTTCTCGGTCGCGCAGCTCACGATCACTGTCCTCAGAGCTGGAGGATCGACTGCGACTACGACTGCGGCTCTGGCGGCGATGCTGGCTGCCGCCTGTCACCTCCGCTAGCACAATGCCGGCCTGCTGCTGATAGGCCAGAAAAGAGGGCACCCCAGCCTTGCTCTGGCTTTGGCTCAGGAAACTGTTAAGGCCACCAATGATCGGTGGCTGTGGCGCTGCCACGGGCACTGGCATGGGCACGGGTACGGGCACAGGCACTGGTGCCGGTGCAACGACTGGTGCGGGTGTGCGTGCCGTCTCGATGACCTTTTGCATTTCGGCGCGCGATGAAAGCAGCAGGCGCACCTGGATCTCCATAAGTTTCTCGCGATCCTTCAGCATGGCGCAGCGGGCATCCTCATCGGTGCTAAAGTTTGTTGTTTTGTTGGCGGGTATAAAAAGAAGAGAGAGAGAGAAAGGGAGAAAGAGAAGCAACAAATGAGGCTCTAGGAATTCTCAAAGAATTTTCGGTTTTTTGTATGGTATGGAGAGAGAGAGAGAGAGAGGCAGAGGCAGAGGCGGCACTGGAAAACCCCCCCAGGAGCATGCGCCTCCGTTCTACTTATATATCTACTTAATGGGCTAGATTTGTGGTTTTTGTTTTGTTTTTGTTTTTTGTTTGTTTGGGCTAACTACCTGAAAGCGATGAAAGCATCGCCCATTTCGCCTCCAATTATGTGGACACCGCCCTCTGGTATCGAGAGGCCCGTGAAGAAATTTCGTATGTCGCGGGCATTTGCCGTCCACGGCAGATTTTGTAACCGAATAATCACACTCATCTTGATGAATCAATTAGCCTGCAATTTGCAATTTATTTCTTTCTTTTCACTGAGAGCTAGACAGGCACAGAGATGACGCATGTATCTCTGATCCCATCCGACTATCAATGATCCTTCTTCGCTGACTGTTCTCTCAGATATTCCAGCTCCATCGATTGATCGCACTGCTGGATAATAGCTTCAGCTGCTCATTGGGCGGGTGTCTGCCCGATCCTTTTCAATAATCAGCAGCTGCTTGGGGATCTGCAAGAAGAATGAGAGACAATTTGGGTTTTGTGGCAACAAAAATTGAAAAAGTTAGAGCAACTTTTGCTAGCTTCAATATTAATAATCAATCGTAGTGCTAAGCCCACGTGTGCCTCGACAAAAAACGTTTCGCATATTTTTTCTTATATTTAGATTTAATGATTTGTTGTATTAGCATTCACAGACCACTGTAAAATCCGAAAGATACATATTTCAGCAGACATTTCGCTTAAGCAATTTATTTTTCAGCCTAAAATTTATCTCGATCTCTTGAAGCTTATATGCGAAATTTAATGCGCAAGATCGGAATTGATAAATGTTTATTACCAATTTTACAGCACAAATCGGGCATCCACAGATCATTTGTTTAATTACCATATTCCAGAATAGAGCACACCTAATACATTCCATCCCCAAAAATTGTCCCATTAAATTCTAGCGCCAGGCAATAAAATCTTCTATACTATAAATTCGTAGAAAAAAATCGGTGTGTAAGCGGCTATCTCCGCAACGCGTGCAACAAATTGGGGGCTGTTTTTGTTTTAAATGATAGCCAGATACTGTGGCATGGTTTGCACAAACCAATTTGTACTCTTCTATAAATAAATTTAATTTCAAAGCGCGCGGGTCTGCTAGTTTCAAATAAAATGTAAATGATCTATCAAATCCTTGAAAGTTTTTCAATACAAATGTAGACTTTTGTGTCTCTTAAGAATCATCCATTAGTAGAGCTTTTCTTTACACATTAAATTCCTTTTGCTACTGGAAATAATTTTAGCAAAATATTGTATTATTATTAATTTCTCTTAAATTATAGCGTCAGGCAGTAAAATCATTTTTGGCTGTTTCAGATTTAAAAATCTGCGCGTCTTAAGTCTATTTCCATATTACGTTCGGGAACCAAATGGGAACCAAATGTCATGGCAGAAACAAGGTTTTTCCAGCTCTATATTTCAGTAAGTTCGTTGATTGACATTTTATGGAGTATAACTTGAACAACTGCCGCATCTCAAACCATTCTTTGCCCCTTATTCAAAGCATCAGGCCAGAGGTAAGCTTAAATATATTTCCTTCTATTTATAGCATACAAATATTAGATATTTAATCTTTTTCTTGGATTTAGAACCTTCAACTTTCATTCAAAGCCAAATTATATTTTATTCGATTCTTTGAATACCATTTCCAACCATTCAAAGCGTCTGTAGATATCTATATGCCTCGAACAGCTTAAAGAATACCCTCCAGGATCTCAGAGCTCCCATACAGATCTCTCTACCTCTCGATGAACAATTTGATGCAATTCTGCGTTTCCGACATAAGCAAATGTTTGTTTGTGGCTACTGAGGAGGACTTCCTGGCTGGGAAAAGCCTCTTGGCTACTGATATTTATCGCTGGATATTTATATTCGCTCGCACACTTTTCGGGATACACCATTCGAGCCTGAACTCGCATTTTCTCATGACAATCTACGGTACGTACAGGTGTCTGTTTAGGGTATTGCATAAGACGAGACCAGTTTTTCTAATCAGCTGCGGAGTCGTTTTTCCCAGGCAACCAAAAACAAACAAAAAAAAACAAAAAACTCCACTCGAGAAAGATCTGAATGGGTCGGTGGCTCACTTACCCAGGAGACGGCGGGTGACCTTCGCACATGATCTTCCACAAAAACACGTGAGGAAGGATTGTAGTTGTCCCTACCTATTGGTACTCCCCACCCCCCCATTAAAATGGACACTGAGCTGGCATGGATGCACCATTCAATCCATGATCATTAGGCGGCTTCAATTTCCTCATTAAGAGACGCCATTCAATTAGCTGAACGGGGGGACGCCATGCAAACGGCTTTCCCGAAAAAGAAATGCCACGAAAAAACCGGCTAACGTTGTTATGGCAAAGCGATTATGCAGCTTCAATTCAATTGCAACTCAATAGTCGATACTCGATCGACTCAAACACACAAACACAGAGCCAGCAGAGACAGACTGACATCCAGCCAGCAGGCTGGAGGCAGGAGGAGCGCTGATCCGATCCGTTCCGATCGGTTTGTCAGTGTTTCGATGTCAAAGACATTAAGAGTCGGGGGAGCTGCTGCTGGTGCTGCTGCTGCTGTCGTCTATTAGCGGCGACGGCGGCGGCGGCGCTTCAGGAAACCCAAAAACTTCACTTCACACTCACACACGACAGCGGCAACTCCTTCCGCTTGGCTATATAAAAAGCATTGTTGGCCATGTGGCCTGGCAGTAACAACAACGAATTGACCGCGTAACCGTCTCCGTCGAAGTCGATGTTAATCATCTGGTCATCGTGATCGTCATCGCCATCGCCAACGCCAGTAGCTCAGTGATCAGTGATCTGTGATTGATTGAATCGTAGATAGCATCGATTGATCGATCGCATGCATCGTTGAGGTTTAAAGCAATGACAATCCCCACAGTGAGTGATGATTGATCGACGATCTATGTGTGTGAACTCAAACTATGTGGACTGTGTGTTCGATCAATCTGTGATTTACCCTCCCCACTCCCACCTGCTGTTCGAGGCGATCCTTTAAGCACTTGAAACGAATGTTTTTGGGATTAGTGAATGGCAAAACTTACTGTTTGATATTTCCTATTCGATTTGCACAACTTAATCTTCAGTTCTTACAATAAATGTCCGCCGAAATCAATCATACAGATCTTTATACACACATATATATATATATATATATATATATTCCACACTCTCGTTATCTTTTATATCTTTTCTTCTCTGTAATACACAATTAAAAAAAAAAGTTTATATGAAATTTACATGAGAAAGATGAGAAATAAATTAAAATAAAATTACAAATATCCGATGGGAGACTATAATGTTTGTGGAACCACTCAAGGGCCTTACTAACCCAGAGATCTATGCGCATGAGTACAAAATAAAGACATATATATGTATAATGCTTCAACTGAACTGATTTCCGCTTCATAAGCTACAATTCCTTTATATATTTTCACTATTTTATTATCCCACAATCATAAAAGGTCCTAAGGACTGCAAAAAAAAACTATAGAAACGTTAGAGGCTCAAAGCTAAAATCCCAAAAACCCCAAATCTCTCTAGGGCCTTACTAAACCCAAAGATCGATTCAAACAAAGATTCTGTCATATCGAATAACTCATAAATAATGATCGTACAGGTTCCCTGCTTTCAGACAATGGCCGCTTTGGGCCTTTTAATGCTTGTTGGCGTCCATGGAACCACCATAATCAGCATTAAATACCCGCACACACTATCGCAGCAGCAGCAGCAGATGGCAGGCGGCAATATGGGGGAGCTGGAGCATCCGCAGCCGGCAAAGCGGGACCTTAGCTTGAGCTATGCGGCGACCAATATTGACTCCAAGGAGGGGACACGCGTCAAGACCATCACCGTGATCAAGAATTTGGGTGGCGTCGGCGGAGGAGTGCAGAAGCAGCAGCAGCAGCAGAAGCTGGCCATCGATCCGTCACTGCATCAGAACGAGGATTGGGCGAGTGCATTTCGCGATAACTTTGACTCCTATGGGGCCCTGCCCGATGTACCCGATATAGACGATTTGTTTGAGTTTGTGAATCGCAAGAAGAAGCCCGACGAGCCGAAGAAGGCACAGGATGCGGAGGCCAAACCCAAGCCAAAACCAAAGCCCAAGCCCGTAGAGGAGACGACCACCACGAAGGCCATCAGTGAGCACAGCGAGAGCAGTGGCAGTGGCAGTGGCAGCGGTAGCAGTAGCAGTAGCAGCGGTAGCACCAGCAACATTGACAGCGATGAGGCAGTGGTGGAGAAGATCAAGGGCGATGCCGAGCTGCTGCCACACATTAAGCAGGCGAATATCCTACGTCTGCAGGCGGCCCAGGCACGCGCCTCCATGGAGAGTCGCCTGAAGACACGCGAGTCCCTAATTGCCGTCAACTACTCGACGCCCATGCACCAGGTGACGCAGTACTTTGACAACTATGTCCAGGCGGTGCCCAATGGCTATGATTACGCCAAGCCATGCGGTGCCCCGCCTGCGGGCAATAGCTATCAGGTGACGACGCCCTCGGGACGCACCTACGACATACCGCAGAGCAATAGCAGCGGCACTGGAGGCGGCAATCATCCCTACTTGGCGCCGTCGATCACGAAGAAAACTCAGATTCCGCCACTGGCTCCGGCGCAGACGCAGGGACAGCAGCCGCAGCCGCAGCCGCAGCCGCAGCCTCAACAGCCGCCCAATTACTCCTCGGTCAACTCGATTGTGCCGCCCGTGGGCAATCCTCCTCCACAGGCCCAGGCGCAGCAGCCTCCTTTCCAGCAACAGCCGCAACCGCAGCCACAGCAGCCAAATGGCGGAATACTGCCGCCTCTTCCGGCTGTCGGCAATGGGATCTCCACCAGCCAGCGGCCATATGTGGCGCCCAGGCTGCGCAACAATGGGCTGGGCATCAATCGGGGACCAGTCTCACCGTTGCCACCGTTAGGCTCGACGCCCCAGCAGGCGCCCAGCTTCCGCTCTGGCATCTTTGGAGGCGGAGGCGGCGGCGGTGGCAGTGGCGGTCCGAACACGCTGCGATCGCGTGGCCTGAAGTATTGAGCACAGACTACATATACATATATTCGGGTCTACGAACTGTACCTTAGCTTAAGCATCAAGAGAGTTTCCTAATAAACACAACAAACACATTTGTACTATGCCAGAATGAAAAAAAAAAATCAATAGCGCGGGGCCTGCTGGCCACGCATTTTTCCCTACATTTCACTTGTGTGGATTTTTTTGGTTTTCTTTCACTTATTGAACTGTTTTGCTTGCTGGAGAGATCAGGCGTCACAGATATTGGTCGCCAGGGTCGTTGGGGTGCTGCGCCCCTGCTGTGGGTCGGGCGCCGTACGAGTGTACGCACGATTTATTCAATGAACTTTTACTCACCTCACACCAAAATGGAAACCATACAAATACGCAACTTATTCGAGGGGCCAATGCACAAAGACAGGTAGGGTTCGGTTTTGCTGCAATCGCTATATATTTATTCGGTTAATTTCTATTGCTTAGTTCAATGTGAAAGTCGAGAATTTCCCACAGCAAACAAAATTAAAATGCTGTAATTGCTGAATATGACAGAAAAAACATGGCGGCCACGAGAGTATCTGCTAGGGATGCTTAATATATATCGATGTCTATTCTATATTCTACTTGCCGATACACAGAGTTGCAAAAATGGCTGCGGTATATTTTTGCGATAGGCGATCAGCGTTCGATAGTGAGCCATCGATACTGCGATCGATGGTTTTGCAGCCTCTAATGCATATCGTGCGTAATCTCCATTTATTTTGCTTTCATCAAATGTTTTCACATTGAGCTGCATAAATAATTAAAAAAAGACAGTGTTAAGACCTTGCAAAGAGTGCACTAATCACGTATTAAGTATTTGCCTTGGTTTTCGCTTTCGTTTTTCTGGCACAACGAACGCTCTTCCAGACGCAGTCCGTACACACATAAACGTCGACGTCAGTGGGCGACGCGCAAAAAAAAACCCCGAGAATTGCGATAGAAAGAGTGGTGCACGCACAAACTGAGGAAAAGCGAAAATTAAAAGGAATTTTTGCACTGGAAAAAGTCAAGCGCCAGCGCCAATCGTGGAGAGTTGTTTTGTGAAAAAGGTAAAGTAAATGTAATTAATTTTTGCTGCTGTGCAAACAACAGTTCCGGTGTGTGTGTGTGTGTTCGTGTGAGTGTGTGAAAAAGTTGTTTTCCCTGAAATGTCAGGTTTTTTTTTATTTTTGGTAAAAATAACCAATTTCGATGACGAAATTACAGAAACGGGCTTCAGTTCCCAGAGATTCAGAGTGTGGGTTTTTATTTATAATAATTTTCGCATTGATAAGACAGGTGGTGTATCTGTGGCAGCCACCGAGCTGTGTCCGTGTGCGTGTGTGTGTGTATAGGGGGGTTGATAAGCTCCTCTTCGGGAGACTCTCTCACAAAGGTCGCATATGGCTGGCATTTGGAGTGTTCGTTTTACCAATATTTTGACAGCAGCTCGAAAATCAATTTAAGTGGCGCTGAAGCAGAAGCTGAAGCCATACAAGACCCACTCTCTGCCCCTCCACCCACTCTCTTCACAGCTGTACAAATATGTAATTAACACTGACTGATTTTTCAACTTCTTTCAACTTCTCCTCCCTTTCGCATTATTAAATTTATGCAACTCTGTCTGTTTTTGTCTTTCTTTCTCTTCCCTCCCCCTTTTTGGGCTGTGTAGACTCTGGTGGACTCCTCTTCCCAACTGCCAATTTCTGTGTATCTTCGACGGCAGCAACTTGTTGTTGGTTCTGCTTTTGTGCAGTGCAGTGGTGGCTTCTGTGGCCTCGAGTGTCGCGAGATTTGTACGCAAATTCGTTCGTTTATCGCCTTTTGTGTGCTCGCCCGAATACCCATCATCATCATCATCATCGGTTTGGGGCTTTGAGGTTCAACGTTGGCCCGCGTTTCGTGACTCATGTCCGTGACTTATGTACGCGTTATCTGGAGTAGCAATTTAAGTGATTTTTTACGTATATTGTTAAAACCCTGTATTCCCTGTAGATACCATCGTTGGGTGTGGGTACTTTAGTTAAATTCCCTGTAGAAATCCAGTAAACAAATCAGCAGAAAACAACTTTAATCCTTATAACAGTACATACTAATTAACAGTAACAGTAACATAACCAGTGCTGAGTAGTACCAGCAGTTCCTATGTAGAAACCAGTGTTGATCAAACCTTTTCCTGCGTCACATCATTTCTCGAAGAAAATTTAAGAACAAGTTTTCACCGCATCTACTCTGCTCTTTTCCCATAATTCAGCATCAAGAAAAAGCTTAAATCAAGATGAAGTTGAACATTTCGTATCCGGTGACAGGCACCCAGAAGCTCTTTGTGGTGAACGACGAGCACAAGGTGCGCATTTTCTACGACAAGCGCATGGGCGCTTTGATTCAGGCCGATCCCCTGGGCATCGAATGGAAGGGCTATGTACTTCGCATCGCTGGGGGCAACGACAAGCAGGGCTTCCCCATGATGCAGGGCGTTTTGAGCCCCCAGCGTGTTCGTCTGCTGCTGAAGGATGGCCAGCCGTGCTATCGTGCACGTCGCGATGGCGAGCGCAAGCGCAAGTCGGTGCGTGGCTGCATCGTCAACGCTAACATCTCGGTGCTGGCTCTGGTGATTGTCACCAAGGGAGAAAACGACATTCCTGGGCTCACGGACATTAGCTATCCACGTGTTCTGGGTCCCAAGCGTGCCAACAAGATTCGCAAGCTGTTCAATCTGTCCAAGGATGATGATGTTCGTCGCTATGTGGTGCGTCGCCAGCTGCCGGCCAAGGGGGAGAAGAAGGCCACCACCAAGGCCCCCAAGATCCAGCGTCTGATCACGCCCGTTAGGCTGCAGCGTCGTCGCCACGTCATGGCCGAGCGCAAGAAGCGCAAGGTCAACGAGCGGGCCATGGCCGCCGAGTATGCCCAACTGCTGGCCATGCGCAAGAAGCAGTCGAAGGCTCAGCGCCAGTCGGAGAAGCGTCGTCGTTCGATATCCCTGCGCCGTTCCCACTCTTCCTGCGGTTCGTCGGCTTCAGCTTAGATCCGGTGGATTATGTCCCATTCGGAATCTCGCATTGATCTCTCAACAATCTAATCAGCTCTATGTCTCAAAGAAGGAGACCCTAAATTAATAAAAAGCTGTTTATGTTTGGTAGTTTTGAGTTTCTTGTAGTCTCGTATTGTTTTTTGTAGTTTTTCATGTCTGACCACGTGCTTTAAGCTTTTAAGCTGTGTAACACTGGCTACTGTCAGCGTTTATCCACACTAATTTTCGGCGTTTCCGCCACGTGGCATGGCTTAAAATTAGTTTTTTAGGGCTTTGTTCCTTTCTCCTTATCCCGACCATTCTGCATGGCTATCTATGCTGTCGTTGCATCAAATTTAAGCCATTTACCATTCTATAAATATGTGGAAACTTTTTCTTCCGTTTTTCTGACGCTTTTCAACACTGAAAAATTGGTTTTGGTTTCTTTTAGTAGAATTTATTTAATTTCATGTGTGTTTTCGACACTTTTACCTCTGAACCATGATGGAATTGTTAATTTTACAGCTATTTCTAGATGTTTATTATCTAGTAAAAATGTTCTATATTGTTATTTGTGATGTTTACCAGCACTATTATGTTTATGTTTGCAATCCGCCATGTGGCATTTAAAGTGTTTCGTTTTTCTGCTCTTCTGCAACATTGCAATCAATTTTAATGGACTCTGATGCTATTTTTGTACGCCTCATTAGCTTCGCAGTGATCTTGCTATCTCCCGGACCATATTTATGTATGTATAACACTCGACTCCCACCCAAAGATTCCGGCTGAAAGAGCCTGCCACTTGCAGAGTACATCGATGTTTCAAGAGCGAATATATAGTGCATATATTGTTTATTACCCCACTCGTTTATTGATTGTTTTAACCAGCAAATGATACATGATATGGTGGTGTGTGCCAATCAATATAAAGAGCGCATAGGAGTGACCCTGAGACAGGTGGCATAACTCTTGTGCGGCGCGTCCCAAAGTCCATTATGAATATTGGATTGCGTTGCGTGATGATCTAATGCGAGGCGTCCCCAACCCAACACAACCCAACCACTCGTTTCCTGCTTGTTCTTCTGTGGCTGCCACTGTTTGCTTTTCTGCTCCACATTTCTCCATTCCATTTCGTTTTTCTGCTGTTGACCCAATTCTTGTCCACAAAACATTGTTGCAAGTTCTCTTGATGGTTGCCATGGCGTGCCTGCCACACAGCCACAGCCCACCCCGCCGCAGTCGGCGATGTTCGTGTGTGAAAGTCGAAACGAGAATGTAAACAGTTGCGCGCCCGCCGTTGCGTTAGCTGTCTAATCTGCCTAGTCCTAATTTCATATTTCGAGTTTATTTTAGATTTAATTTATCTGGATAATCCAACCCAACCACCACCCACAACAATAATAATAATAATCTTTCGTCTCTGTGTATTTTCAAGCATGAGCACAACCGCCGCCAGTCTCATTGAGGCGGCTCTAAATGCCAGCAGCAGCTTAGCTGCTAGCAACGCAACAGTGACAACACCAACAACAGTGAAACCCAATACCAATTACGTTGTCCAAGTGAAGGATCCAATGAGTGCGCCCCTCGAGCCACTGCTCCATGTGGGCGATGGCATATTCCTGCAAACGAAGACCGCCCAGGTGCTAGCTGGTGTGTGTGTATGGGCCGCACTATTCATCACCTGTCAACAGGTAACGAAATTATTATTTCTAATTTATACCGATGAACCATTGGCTGATGTTTACCTGCTGCTGCTGCTGCCTCTGCTGCTGCTGCTGCCTCTGCTGCTTCTGCTTTTGTTTCTTTTGCAACAGATCTATCAGCATTTGCGCTGGTATACAAATCCACAGGAGCAGCGCTGGATTGTACGCATTCTGTTTATTGTGCCCATTTATGCGACATACTCGTGGATCAGTTTGTTGTTCTTCAATTCGGATAATGTCTATATATACTTTTTCACAGTAAGAGATTGTTACGAAGGTACGTAGTAGTTGTAATCCTCCTGTTCACAGCTTATCTTTTTTTTGTTTTTTATTTATAGCCTTTGTCATCTACAACTTCTTGTCGCTGTGCTATGAATACCTCGGAGGCGAGGGTAATATTATGTCGGAGATACGCGGCAAACCCATCAAGACCTCGTGCCTGTATGGCACCTGCTGCCTGAAGGGCAAAACCTATACGATTGGCTTCTTGCGCTTCTGCAAGCAGGCCACATTGCAATTCTGTTTGGTGAAGCCGCTGGTGGCATTTATCATTATATTTCTGCAGGCCTTTGGGCACTACCACGATGGTGATTGGAGGTATGTCAGCCAGCAAGATCAAACAAAAAGAAACCTAAAAGCATATCTATAACTAATCTCCTCTCTCTCTCTCTAACTTTTAGTGCCGATGGTGGATATATTTACATCACAATTATCTACAACATTTCCGTATCGCTTGCCCTGTATGGACTCTATTTGTTTTACTTTGCCACGCGTGATCTGTTGACTCCGTTCGAGCCCGTGCTGAAGTTCTGCACCATCAAATCGGTCATCTTTTTATCGTTCTGGCAGGGCGTGGGCCTGGCCATACTGGAGAAGGCAAATGTGATCTCGCCCATTGTGGACAGTGCGGGCACTGTGGCCACAGAGGCGGGCACTGTCTCGGCCGGCTATCAGAACTTTTTCATATGCATTGAAATGCTTTTTGCTGCGATTGCGCTGCGCTATGCGTTCCCCTATCAGGTAAGCGATAAGATAGAACGCGCTATAGCACGTGTAAATATTTCTACTTGAACAAACTTTAATTTCCCTTTTAATCGTTTTTAGGTATATGCACGCAGCTGCATTAGCGATGGCCATGGACGTTCTGTCACCATGCAGTCGATTTCTAGCAGTCTAAAGGTGGGTTTTAAATCTCATTTTAAATAAAAATGAATTTAAATTTTTGTCTTGTCTTGTCTTGCCAGGAAACTATGAATCCCAAGGATATTATGACAGATGCTATACACAATTTCCATCCGCAATATCAGCAGTACACGCAATACAGCTCAGGTGCGTTTTTGAAGCCTTCCTTCTCCGCATTCTCCTTTCATTCTCGTTATGTGTGTGTGTGTATGCTCGTTATATGTGCCTGCTCTCTTATACATATATCTTATAAATCTTATCTATCATTCTTTCTGTGTGTTCGTTTTGTTTGCCTGACATTCTTCTTTCCCTCCATTTGCGTTATGTTTTTTCACTATTTTGTTTCTTTTTTTTCTTGTTTTTTTCTTATCTTTTGCAGAAGTAACCTCGGCGCAGCGTTACGAAAAGCTCTAAAAAATATATAAATAAATACGAAATTAAGCAAATGCAAAACTCTAGCGATGCTCGCTAGCAAAAAACAAAAAAAAAACAAAAACTAAAAAAAACGGACACAATACGAAATGAAAACAAAAACTGTACTTATAGCTTATGTCCCTCCACTGCAGTTGCCTTACAGCCTGATGAGCGAGACAGAGGAGAGAGAGAGAAATACGTACTAGGCCTAGTTACTTACTAAAACACACACAAAAGAAAACACAATCAAATGCTGAAAGCTGCAACAGAATATGCCTTAGGGGATGATACCCCCCAACCCAACCCAACTTCTAACCATTCTATTTTGTTTTTGTGTTCGTGCCCCCCTGTCTGGTGTACTTTTTTGTATTTTTTAATTTTTAAAAACTCTTAAATTTAAGCATTTTTTAAACAAATTATTTAAATGTTAGCATATACGTATATAAATGACCTTCTGATATACATACAAACAACAACAAAAACCAACTATAATATTGTAAAATATTATATATAATATTATGCTTAAACAAATGATTTTATTATACTATTGTTGTATGGCAGCAGATTCCGTTTTCGCCCCCACCTACCCCACGCCCTTCAGGCAGCATTTAACTTTCGCTCAAAAGATACCAAAAAAAAAAAACAACCAGCAGAGATTTCTTTTAGTTTTTCTTTATTTTTCTTTCCCCCTTTTGTGATAGACCTCAAACCCTAAGCTCTTGTCGTGCTTTCGTCTATATTATTCCTGTCTCTTTGTAAATGTTTAAATCTTTAAATCAAACTGTATAAAATATCTAGTGAATAAATGTACAAAATAAGCTTGACTTTTGCCTTGTTTACTGCCTGCCTGCCTGCTGCATGTTTTCTCTCGATTCCGAATGATTCCTCTTGTACATACATAGAAATATATATGTAGCCTATGATTAAGAGCTCCTAACACCCTCTGACCTCAGGTGGCAAGAACTCGCGTGGCATACGCGTCTCCAGCTACGATCCCGATGATCCCAACTCTGGCGGCGGTGGAGCAATGCAGGAGGCGACACAGCAGCAGCAGCTGACCAGCGGTGGCTACAATGCAGTGGCCAGTGGACCACTGGCCTCCAAGACGCTGGGTAACCAAAGGAAATTTGCACCCGGGGGACAGCGTGTGGCAACGATTAGCCAGAACTACAATGAGAAGACCATGCTGCTAAGCAGCGACGATGAGTACCAGTAGAAGCCGAAAAAGGGGAACACTTAGAGTTTCAAGGAACATTTTTATAATTGAATTTATCTGTTGTATTCCCATTGATTCGAATTGATTTTTTGATTGCTTGTACAATAATCTTAAGTAGCGAAAAAAAAACAAAAACGAACCGCAAGAGAGCCGAGAGAGAGAGAGCATTAAAACCCTATAGACAATTAATGATTGTACCACGAATCGTGTGTGTGTTTGCATTTTTTGTACTTGTATTCCATACATACATACATTTATGTAGCATCTCTTCTGTAAATTGTCCAACAATATTATTGTGAAAGCGATAAAGCTATAAATGAAATGAAATGAAACTGAAAACTGAAAAATCTGAACAGAAATAAAAAAAATAGTAACAGAAACTGCACTTCTTGCGTCTCACCACGAACCGTCTACAGGCTGCTTCTACAATAACAAAATACAGAGTGGGGAAAACCCAGAAAAACAAATGAGAAGAAATAAATATATTTATAAGCAAAGGGCTAATTTTTAATGCATAATTAAACACACAAAAAAAAAAGAACATATTTAGAGCGAATTTGTTGGCTACGCAATGAAGGAGGTTAATTAGGTGAATGAGTGTTGTATCCCCATTCCGGACACGAGAAATGTATAAAAGAATTTTACCCTGTACAAAAAAAACAGATATTCCAAATAATTCCCAAGGATTGTCCCAACAGTATTTTGATATATAGCCAGGCTTCTCATCAAATAAATACGTGTGTGTGCGCGTGCATGGGCCAGTGAAAACCAGCAAAGAAAACCATAGGAAAAGTCAAATTATGTATAATTATGTGGAGGGGGGGAGAAAGTGAGAAAAGAGAAGTGAAGTAATGTGAAATTAAACCAAAGCAGAAACGTTTTTATGTACATTTTTTCGTTAATAATATGAAATGAAAATAAATTAAATGTCATAAAATACACTAAAAACCACTTTATGTATATAATATTTTTAAATCTTTTTCCTTGGCGGGCTTTGAATTGTTGAAAATGCTGCACAGGTACGTAAAAGATGGGGCAAGGAAACCTGCTTGAAGCATCAGTAGTGTGTTTATTCTCGCCTAGTTAGCAGCCTGATTTTGAATTTTCCGCTTTCGCGCCACAGTTCTCATCCTTTACAACACTGAAATGTTTATCCATGATCACCAACAATATGCGGATTGGGAAAAATCAAAGCGAAACTAACGTTTTTCGGTCGAGTTTCCGGTTCTTAAACGTCTACATACTATCCCTACAGGATACACCATCGATATGAAACTACAATTTATAATTCTCCACGACTTTTACATTGAATTAAATCATAAGTTTTATTTCACTTCCACATGCGCAAACAAGTGGCCAAAAAACTGTACGTTCATCTAATGGAATAGGGTGAATAGGTGAAGAAGTGCAAAAACGTTATTTGCAGTTGGAGAGGAACGAGCACCCAGGAGAGCGTGGAATGAGCGAGAACTACGTCTACGTATCTAACTGTTTCTTCAGCTCTCACCCCGCGCCTGCATCGACCCATCAACAGTTGCCGTACGTGTCCAGAAACACACACTTTCGATCTCCTTTTGCAGCAAGAGAGAGGAAGGAGAGCACGATAAGAAACGAATGTCAAATGAGCGAACAATTAGAAGGGGAGAGCATGGAAAGTGCGAGAATCTAAGCCGCCTACGCATCTCTGTCGCTCTCGAAACTTCCATATTCCTTCTGCTCCTTTGCCATGTCACAAGTCAGATCCGCGTTTCGGGCCGCGAAAACCTGGAAAATAGTGCAAAACCATTAGAAAAATGCCGTGCAATTAGTGTGAAGTGTAGTGTGTTATTTACAAAAGAAATTGGCAAAATCAAGTTTTAAGTGCAGGAAAAAATGTGTGTGTCTAGTGCGGGGGTGTGACTGCGGAAAATTGGCATAGAAATGTCTGATCGTGAAAGAAAATGTGCGAAAATATGTGCACAAGCAGTGCGTCAAGTAATCATTTTGTTTAATGCAAATATTATTTTTTTCTTGTGAAAGAATCAGGCAAAACGCTGCCACGATTCCGTTAGTTTTCTTCCCCAGTGTCTTTTTGCTTTTTGTGTGCGCGTGTGTATGAGTGTGAAAAAGTACGCGAAGTGGCGGCCATAGCGAAGATGAGGAGCAAAAAGGAATAAGCGAGCGTTTCCAAGGGGCAGTCAACATGAGGTGAGGCATTCCAAATCCTGGAAACGTCACCTCTCTCTCGTTCAGCCGCTTGATCAAAATATGCGGAAATCGTGAGAGTGTTCTCACCAGTGCCCACACCCTTTTTTAATATCCTTCAAATTTGTGCTCTTATTGGAATCTCTCAATGCAAATCGTTTTTTATGTGCGTGGGTGTTTCAGTTTCCGATCGTAGCTGAATCTACTTTTATAAATTTGAAATTGTGTGCATATTTATACATATATATGTATAAAGCTTATGGTCACGTTAAGTGTGTGTCTCAAAGCTAATAGAATGCAGAGAGTGCAAAGAATTCGAGAATTATTAATAGATAGGTAAGCTTAATATTCATTTAACAATTTTCATATCGTTTTGAGTATTACTTCTGATCGGCTTTGAAGCTGCATTACATTTACATATGCACATCTGTGTGGGTAGCTACAATTTTAGTTAATTAGTCGTTTCGGTTAATATGATAATTGAATGCTGCAGCAGTTGCTGTCCTCATTATATACCGCTTTACATACATACATATGTACCACATGTATTATGTATGGAAATAATCTTGCAACTGTTATGTCGTTGGGCTTGCATAAATTATTATTGCGTGTGTGCTCGCTCGTGTGTGTGTGTGTGTGTGCGAGTGTTTATATATGAGCAGCATCCAACACCCACACACCAAAATCGATACCGATATGTACTCTATATGCATCCATAATCCAACATAGCGAAATGACAGGCACGGCACGTAAACGGAAACCCCAAACGACAATCGCACATTTCCCAATAATTATATTTCAATGCATCAGAATTTCAGCATGACAGTTGTCTGGTTTCCGTAATATTATCATCATGCTCTGCAGCAGCAGCGCCAGCACCAGGAGCAGCAGCATCATCAACATTGGATCATTGATACAGTTATGAAAAGCCGTGTGGGGAAGTGGGTGGAAGCATAACAAAAGCCTTTTGGTCAGTGTTCCCCCCCATACCCCTCACACCAGCACTTAGCCTGGCCTGTCCTGCTGCTGCTACACTGCTGTGGTGTGGTGGTCAGGTCTGGTTGTGTCTGCTCCTGGGGTGGTGTAGTGCGGTGTAGTGCTGTGGCACGATGCTGGGTGGCTGGGTGGGCTGTGTGTGGTTGCTCATTATCTGTTTAACAGTTCCACATTTAACGATGAAGCGTCCGTTGTTATTGCCGGCTCTCGTCATGATATGGCCACCATTTCGGAGTGGGCGGCCAATTCATTCCCCGCCGGGCAATCTGCTAGAGATGAGCAATTTATGCGATAGTAGAAGGCGAGCTTACGATCGATACGAACAGGTGGAAGCTATCGATGACGATGAATCGTTTGAAATAGTTGGCAGGGCTGGTTAACCCTCCGCTGTTTTTTTTTTTACAGAGTTGGCAAGGATTAACCTTTTTAACCTTGAACGGTTATACTTAAATGTTAACCTGCTACAATTTCTACCATTATCATAATTATTACACAATGCTTCGATATTTATGCTCATCTCTGGTCTGTTTCTCCGTCCCATGCTGCCGCATATTGTGTGCTACATATGGCGGACAATCAAACGACAGACAGACGGTGGGGCCAATAAGTTTATTACTTACCTCAACGCATTGCCCAACCAGCCATGCTGCCTGATCCTGGGGGTGGCACACAGGCAGTCCTTGAAGCAGGAAGCATCATCTTTCCCTGTGTGTGTGTGTGTATAATTCATGAAATGCACATCATTGCCTCAGTAGTAATGATTGCTGCCACAGACGCACAGACATGTCTCCCGTGCATGCCTCAATGGATATGTATACAAAATGTACAACATATGTACTTATGCACATACAATACTATGTATCAGGAGAGGAAGTCCTGTCATGGGGAGGCGATGTGGCATTTGGTATCCCATGGAAATGACTTGGATATTTGTGGATGATATCCCGTTGCTTTGTTGATTGTTATGTTGCATAACTGAAGGAAGAAGGAAGGAAGAATCCCTGGCCTGCCTGAATGTGGAATTCCACTTGAAATTCCCATTTAAATTTCTCATTCGATTTCTTATAGATTTTCTGCACCCCGCTGCCGCCTGCTGGTTTACCCAATTATTATCCACTGCTGACTGCTATTTATTCAATTATTGTTCATTTAACAATTGTAAATATTTTAATCCTTGACCGAATTCTGTGCATGGTCCTCTTGGATCAATCCTCTTGTGGCATCTTCAGTTGATTGCAATTGAAACAAAAATATATTTGAATTGGATTTTTGATAGCAGGCCTTTTAATTGAGGTTTTTAATGGTGTGCGAAGGAAAGTTTTGTTTGTTGAATTAGCCAATGTGAGTGATTGGATTGGATGGGATGGGATCACTCAATCTCGCCGTGGAATAGACTTGCTCTTACACCCACTCTTATAAAGTGTGAATTACTCGTATACTCACTCTTATACTCCGCCAAGCACTCGTATAAACGATCTTATACTCACTCGAATAAATTCTTCAATCTCACAATCACCCTCAATTAATCTTTCACTCACAATTCTGTTTACCCGTACATATTCACATATTCACAGAGTCTCTGCGGTCACATTTCCAGCAGAGGAGCCTGCAGGGCATTCCATTTTCCCTCTCACACACGCACACGCACGTACTTAAAGCGTGATTATTAGCACAACAGAAAGAGAGAGAGAGAGAGATGGTGAGTGGGAGAGAGCTGGCAATGTGTGGGAGGGGGTTGACCCGTTATGACCACTTGCTTGTGCTTCCACCCCCCCTAAAAGCTCCATGGTCCTTGCTTCCTTGTTGACACACTTCTGCCAACAGTTGATCTTGCGGCCAGCCGCAGGCATGCGGATTAAAACCATAAAGGATATGCACACACGCGCCCACACACACACCTACACACATCTGCATACATGCTCTGCGTATCTCTATGTGTGTGTGTGCGTATGCGTATGCGTGCATCTGTGTGTGTTGCTGTCTATGAAATTTTAAGCACGTCCGTTTTCGAAGCCTAACGAGTC